ACTGGATGAAACATTTCTGCATTCAGACAACATATATCAAGTATATTATATTCGTATTAAATATACAGGGTGTCCCAAAATTCCCGCATTTGGAGTACACTACGTGATTCTTTATGTTAAAAGAAACAATTTTTTCCTTTAGCAAAATTGCGTGCGACGAATAGTTTTTACAGTGAATCAGATTAAAAATGACGAATGAGCGCGCGTATGTGCGTAGCGGTCAGGGCTGGAGCGCGTTTCTCTAGCCGGCGCGGCCTGATACTTAATCTTTGATGACTTCATGTACTATATTGTTTAAAATATGATAAAAATTAACAAAATAAATATTGTTTTCATCCTTTAACGATTTAATAAAAAAATTATTTGATTTCGTAGCATTATCTCGAAATGAAAATAAATGTCATATGCAAAAATTGTCATATGCAATTGCGCATACGACAATAAAAAAATAATTAAAATAATAGAATGCTCAGTTCATACACCATATTATTTACATTTATTTTTATTTCGAGATAATGCTACGAAATCAAACAATTTGTTTATTAAACCGTTAAAGGATGAAAACTTATACTTATTTTGTCATTATTTTGTCAATTTTTATCATATTTTAAACAATGTAGTACATGAAGTCGTCAAAGATTAAGCCCCAGGTCGCGCCGGCCTGAGAAATGAGCGCCGGCCCTACGCACATACGCGCGCTCATTCGTCACTTTTAACTTGATTTACTGTAAAAACTACTCGTCGCATGCAATTTTGCTAAAGGAAAAAGTTGTTTTTTTAGCATAAAAAATCACGTAGTGTACTCCAAATGCGAGAGTTTTAGGACACTCTGTATACTACAGAATCAATTAACCAGTAAGCTAAAAGTATTCCTATAATGTCTCTTAAATGGAATATTGTTTATCACATAGATATTCTTAGGATATCTTCAAAATAAATTCATCAGCAACATTCTATTTATTTTAACGAATATAATATTGAAGCATAGCAACGTTACCTATATATGTGTGGCGACATCTTACAGAATCGCGTAAATGCATCCAATATTATATATATCATTCATTCATCGAATTATATTTAAGCAAAAGAATTTTAATATTCAAAAAGAAGAAAAATTTATTGGAAGAGGTCGACTCAAAAAAATTAATACGCAGACTTTATAATAGAAAATATGAAGCTAAAATCTGAAATGAAATTAATTAAGCCGATTCTAATTTAAGAATATAAACATAAATATGAATATAAATATAAATATAAATATAAGATGATGAAAACATTATAAAATTAAAAACAATATTACAAATAATATTTCCAAAAAAGAATAATCATCTGTAAAATATAAAAATTAAATACAAATAAATAAGACAAATAAATCAGACTCATTTCTTTTCTTATTTGCACTATTCTGAATGAAATTAATATTAAATTAAGAATTTTTTATGTATTACTTGATATTTAAACGTGAGTTTGGAAAGTTAATTAAAAGATTAATTTTAAACAAAGAAATATTAAAATGTTTTTAAGAAATATGATAATAATATGTTAATAAAGGTACATTCAAAAATATATACTTATATAATACGTACAATATAGCGATAATATTCTGTACATATATTTATTAAAAACTTCTTAATACGTATGTATAAAGAAAAAAATAGGAACATATTTAGTATATATTAGATAAATTGTGTTTTTTTTTACTAATTTTGTAATTTTATAAAATTAATAATTATTAATTTTATAATTTTTTAAAATTAGTAATTAGTAAATAAGATAATTTCCATTTATTTTTATTTATTGGATTAAAGTGTATATACGCACATTTATCTATAATTCATATTATTGTAACAAAATGCACGCATATGAATTCGCTTTATCGAATCTATCATTATCTATAGCTTTGTTTATTCAGGTATATTCCCCATCTTATTTTTACATTTACCCCTTTTTTAAATGTCTATTTTATTTTAAATATAAATAAATATAAAAAGGTAATATTATGAATTGATTTGCTTTGTACTATTTGTCCTTTCTGTTTGCTCTTTCCTTCATTTTTTTATTATCGCTTAAAGAAAATATAATAGTTGAGTTAACTGAAATGAGTCAGGTAAAAATCAGTATTCGGTTCAATATAAAATCCAAGATTTTTGAAGAATATGAAAGAGACAATTTCCTATTGTTCCCAAGAAAGGAACAAATACAAGCATTTCACTCATCCATGTCAAAGAAAGCACCGGGAGTATACCTCAGGAGCGTACCTAAAGCTAAGTGCCAGCCGACCCTCGAGATATCTGATGGCGGAGTTGACGAAGGTGGCGGGCAAAGCGATGGCGAACCATCGTCCGAGCATCAGTCCGAAACCGCGCACGTCGCGCAAAACTATCCTCTTCACAATCTGACCCTCGAGTTCGGCTACGTATACCGAGAGGAAAGTTCTCGCCAGCAACGTCAATGTTGCGCATGCCAATAAACCCATCTCTCGTGTACGCCATCCCGGCACCATAATCTTCAACAACATCATCAGCTGTCGGAAAAAATCGCGATCCAATCCGACGGACAATCTTTGTTTTTTTCCGCCATTTCCGGTGGGATTATTGCCGGGAAGATCGCTTCGGAGTACGTCATTGTTTCCATTGTGTTTCGAGCCGTGACGTTCGTGACTTCTGTTCCGTGCGGACTCTTTGATACGCGTGACGATGTGCGGATAAGCGAGCTTCAGAAGATAAAGCGCCGTGGCCGCGCCGGCGACGCCGCACGTCAGCGTCTCCTGACGCACGCCGTAGCGCGCGGACGCGCCGTCGATCAGCTTCGAGAACACCGACGACATTTCCTCCGGTGTTTCTCCGGTGTCCTCGGACCGGACTGGCGGTTACTGGCGAATTAGCAAAACCTAATAGCGCGCATCCCGCGCTATCACGCGAGAATCACGATAACGGTAGCGATAATGGACGCATCTACGACCGCAACTCCGCCTCGGCCACGCTTCGTTGCGGTCCACGCCGCTCTTTACTTCAGCCGGGCAGAGCAAAGAGCGCCTATTTTTCGCTTGTACACACACGCATACACGCACACACACACACATGCGCGCGCGCGCGATTGCGTGAGACGCACGCGTGACCGCCCGCGCCGGCCACCAGCTGGCAACTAAGCCAGCTTACTCTCGCGCGATGGAGAACCCACGATCCACGTCGTATATATCCCCGCGACTAGCTCGCTTCTCTCGGTTGCTCGCTTCTCCCGCGCGGCCCTCTCTACGACTTCCACTGTCTTCGACTTCCACTGACATCGGTACTGGTTCTCTCGTTTCCTACATTAGTGTTTTGCGCCAGTGAATGAGTTGGACTATTTCGCTCGGCGATACGCAATCGACCGTTGGGATTTGATGAAATAATAAGCGACCTATGAATCAGCACAGATAAAAAAATGAAAGTGATATATTAGAGATGATATAAATTTTTAGATTTTTTAAGAGTTTAAGTCGATGAATTTTGAACAATTTTCCAATATTTCAAGATCTTTAAAATCGTCAAGGTAATTTAAATTTTTTTTCCGATAATTTTCCATAATTTTAGAACACCCTGTATTAATTTTTATTTTATGAAAATGTTATATTATTTATATATTCTATCTGTTTTATAAAACTCTAAAATTTAAAATTTGCAGAATTTGTTATTTTATGTATACGAATACGACTTTCATATGTACGAAAATTCAATATTATCTGCCCAATATAGATATTTTGTTTTTATAGATATTTTGTTTTTTATTATCCTTTATTTTAATCTCAATTGCACTTGTGACCTTTGTGACTTAGCAGATTTACGTACAAGAAGCAATAGTATTGAGAAATAATAATAATAAATAATCGGTTGCACAAGTGTGTTGCTCAAGTGTGTTGAAAATGATATGTTTTCTTGATATTACTCCGTCTTCTTTGATTTTTCAAATTCTTATAATAATATGATTCATTTATTATTATTATTATTATTATAATGATAGTTTATTAAATTTAATAAATTAGAAACATATATAACACAACATATATAGATATATATAAAATTAAGGAAAATTAGTAATGAATTAATGAAATTGTTTCTTTATTATTCTTATTATTGTTAAATTAATTTTTTTATTTTTTTACACTTTACAGTACAATCTATATCTGAAATTTAATAAGAAAAATAATAAACAAAATATTATAAATATTAAAATGTAAATGAAAACATGATATATATTTCCTTCTCACTAATTTGTTTTTTTTAGTTGCATACGTCATTTCATTTTTTCCATTTTTTCGAAAAAAAAAGGAATAAAAAGATAAAACATAAATAAATGTGGATTTCTCAAAGTATGCCACAATTTCCGAACACGCAATCGCTTCTTGTACTGCATTCAGTTTTTATCCAGCTGCAACGATCTCGCATCATTCTAGCAGTTTCAACGTTTCGCATCTTCATCTTTTCTTGCTCATTATCTTTAGTTTATTATAGCTGTTACATACATTTTATCAAATCAAATATATTTCATCAAAGTTGTTACATGCATCTTGTTAAATCAATTGCAAGATATACAATGGATTTTGTACGACTAAATGCTGTAAAAAGAATAACAAACTTAACATTTTTCAATTTAAAAATCAGAAATTGATAAAACTGCGTATATTTTTCATATATGTAGTAAAAATATTTATAAGTTGGCAACTGTTGATTGAATAATGTATATTATGTTTTATCTTATAATTTTTGACCTTATATCAAATAAAATTAATTGATGCCATTATCGAGATTCGTTAATGTTGTACTTTCATATTTTTAGTATATTTTCCCGTAAATCTTGGAGGAATAAAAACAGTGACAAATAAAAATTGCAAGCAACAAAAATATTAAATATTTGCATATCTTTTATTATATGTTTCATTTATTAACGAAGATTGTTTTTGTCATAAATATTGCAAAATTATATTCTTAAAGTACCATATATAAGTAACATAAATACATATAATATGTATATTTACAATAATAAATAAATGTTAATCTTGTCACTTATGTACCATTTGAACTTAACATGAAATAACAAGTAAACGTTTCGCTCTCTAAAAGATCAACTTTTTTAAACATGTGTTTTTTATATTATTATCAAAGTTTTTTTAATGTTTTTAGCTGTTGCATAAGAAATGTGTGTTGATCATAATTTTTCATATAATCACGATCAATTATACAATCATTGGAATTAATTACATACAAACTACGGTTTTAAATAAATGCTGCATTTAAAAATGTGCTATTTAATTTATTCTGTTTGTATATTAATTAATTTCTTTTATACATCGACGTCAATCTATAATATCTTAAATACATGTTTTAAAAATGCGCAGTTGTGCAAAGTTATTTTATAATATTATGTTGTAAAATCGCAAAGATATCTAAGCATAAGAGTTTTGTAAGCTTTTATTTTCATAAAGGCTTTAATATATAAAACAAATAAAATTTTCTACAAAGATAAACATATATAAAATAAAGTGATTAAGCTACATTGATTTACATTGACTTATTATTTATGAATTATTATATAGGAATGAAAATTGTACATTTCTAATCTTTTTATTCATTTAAATTGGATTATGTGCTTGCGATTTGTGCTTGCGATTTAGTTTGTGATTCATATGAGATTCATGAATAACAAATGAAAAAGCATGTTTATCGAATTCACATTCATTATACATGCCAATTCGTTATCGGTTTTTTAAAAAAATCAAATTGCGCGAATTATCACTAACTAGTTGATTTGTTGATTAATTTGTATTTAGTATTACATTAGTATTACATTAATATTACATTTAGTATTACTATGCGTCAAAATTACAATTGAAAAATTACTATTTCTCTGGTTTTATATAATATATATAATATATATAATATATATAATATATATATATATATATATATATATATATATATATAA